TGAAAATGACCATACACCTAAAACTGTTATACAGATTTAATGTAATCCCGATCAAAATACCATTAGCATACCTCCCTGATTTAGAGAAAACCTTCCTAAAATTCATTTGAAAACAGAAGGGACCTAGCATAGCAAAGGCAATTCTGGGAAACAAAAGCAAGGCAGGAGACATCACAATCCCTGACCTGAAATTATACTTCAAAGCTGCTATAATAAAATCAGCATGGTACTGGCAAAAAAAACCAGCCCTGAGGATCAGTGGAGCAATTAGAAGGCGCAGAAACAAATACAAAGATACTTAGCCACCTTATCTTTGACAAACATGTTCGCTAGAAGAAAAATAGCTTCTTCAATAAATTCATTTTTATTTGTTCAGGATGATATCGACAGGGGGGATAGCTGGGTCAAATGGAACCTCTAGTCCTAGTTTTGTAGGAATCTCTGTACTGATTTCCAGTGGTTGTACCAGTCTACAGTGCCACCAACAGTGGAGAAGGGTTCCTTTTTCTCCATGCCCCACCAGCATTTGTTATTGATTGATTTCTTAGTAATAACCATTCTTTGTGAAATGGAATCTCAGTGTTGTTTTAATATGTATTTCTTGAATGACCAATGATATGGAATACTTTTTTTATATATATTTTTTGCTGTTCGTCATCTGAGACATGTCTATTCATTTCAGATGCCCATTTTTGGATTGGTCTTTAAAGTTGGGGGCTCTGAGTTTTTGTTTTGAGTTCTTTATATATTCTTAATATTAGTGTTTTGTCTGAGAAACAGCTAGCAAAATTTTCCCCACTCTGTAGGTTCTCTTCTATTAGCACACTCTCTTGCTGTTCATAAGCTTTTTAAGCTGATAAGACCCCAGTTGCTGAGTTTTTGTTATATTTCCTGTGTGATCAGTGTTTTGTTCTGAAATCTTTGCCTACACCTCTCTCTTCAAGAATTCTACCTGTAAAGTACTATAGTACTCTCAAATTTATTTATTAGATGTTATTCATATTTTAGTGTTCTTTATTTCAAACCATAGTTTGTATACTGTTGGTGTATTTTGAGAACTTCGTTTAATGTTTTATATTAATGTGTTGTGAGTGAATATTGATGATAAAAGATTAATTTGTAATTTTATTATGTATCAATCATCTTATAGTTTTTCCCTTTGGTTGCTCAGAGTTTTGAAAGCAAATTTTAAAGAATCAATTTGAATTTTGGATGCATCACTTCAAGTATAATCAGAGGCTTGAGACTTCACCCTAAATACATGAAAATCACCTATTCTTTGTCTAGGTTCTTTACTTGGTGCACCTGGAATCTGAAGCCCAGAGAATACATGGGCACAGTGTTTTTTTTAAGTTGTCTGCTGTAGAGGGCCAGATTATTTTTCCCCCAATACTATAAACTATAAATATAAATGAAAAAATTTAAAGAACATAATTCTAAATGCTTGCTGTCAGTTCTTGTGCTTGTCTGAATGCAGATGGATTACAAACAATTATGGGACCAGAACAGTCCCTGTACCACACTTCACGTCCACTGCTTAGCAGAGTCTAGCTCAGAGCCAGTGTTCTGTTATTGTATGGCCTGGAAACCAAGAGTTGGTTTTTAGATTTTTAAATGGTTTTTGAAACTAACAAGAATTTTTTTGACACATGAAAATCATATAAAATTCATAGTTCAATCTCCTTCAGTAAACTTCACTGGAACAAAGCTGTACTCATTCATTATCGGCTGTGGCTGCTTTTACACTATCATGGTTAGTAGGGTCCAGGCCAGGGTCAAGTAATCTAAGACAGAGACAGTAGGATTCAAGTGGGAACAGCTTCTGTTTGGCCTGGTACAGAAGAAAAGTTGATTACTTCTGTCCTAATACAAAGCTTGCAATTAATAGTTATTTGTTCAGTCGAGAGAAAAAACAGGGCCTGAATTTTAAAATGTGTTTTAGATAATTAAACATGATCAGTAGCTAATAGGTTTTGTCAGAAGTCAAAGTTCAGTCTCTGTGCATGCCACTTTGTTTTCATTTTAATTTTTCTGGCAATCTCATAGCTTTTTATGAAAGTTACGTAAGTTTAGACTCCTACTAATCTAAGTGTAGATACCTTTATGTCTTCTAAAACTCTTAAATCTGCTAAATTCTAGTTTTTAGTTCATATTTTGTGAATTAAAAATATTTTTTACGCATGATTTTATGATAAGTAGTATCATACATAATTTTATTCTGCAATAAATACTGTTATTAATAAATAATTTCACTCTGCTTGTCTCTTCAGGTCCAGTAAAAGACATATATATGACCTCCGAATATTTAGGAAACATTTCAAAAGGATTACTTGTTTTGTTTTGTTTGAGACAGAGTCTCACTGTATAATTTAGGTTGCCCTTAAGCTCACTGTATAGTCCATACTGGCCTCAAATTTATATTTATTCTCATGTTTTAGCTTCCTGAATAGTGGGATTACAGGTATGCATCACCACGCCCAGGTAGGATTACTCTTTTAAAAATCACCTCAGGGGATTTAGCCCAGCGGCATAAGCACCTGCTTTGTAAACACGCGGTCGAGAGTTCTACTCTCAGTACGGATCAAAAAAAAAAGTCACTTAAAACAAAATAAAACGACAACTAAACTAATGGCAGGTTTCTGTGGCAAAATAGGAAAGCTATAATAGTTAAAATAGTGATCATAACAAGAAGGATTGAGGTTTTAGGTGACTTTTGGAGGAATAGTTGGGTTTTCGGTACTTTTCCTCTACCGTTCTTTAAAAGCTGCAGTTTGAGCTAGGTACACTGGTACATGCTTTGTAATCTCAACATTCTGGGAGGCTGAAGCAGGAGGATTGCAAGTTCAACCCCAGCCTGGGCAATTTAGTGAGTCTGTGTCCCATAATAAAGGATTTTTAAAAGGTTGAGAATATGGCTTAGTATGAAGACCCTAATTTTAATCTCCATTACTGCCAAAACAAAATAGCTGCAGTATGAAAGTTCCCAATATATTCTTGTCAAACTTCAAAATAAAAATATTCTCTTAAACTCCCATGTGCAACTAAAAAATGTACTTTTCATTAGAGCTGTTACTTCTTTTGTTTTTCTACTGTTTGCATATTGTTACCCTGCAACTGCAGATGGTTACCAGCTTTCATTTGATTCTGAGTCTGCTTTATGATAAAGACCATTTTTAAACCAAATCTTCACATTAGAATTCCATCCTGAAATAAAAAAAAGTGTTGTTGTAAAAGCCTTATTCATTATGATGGGTGCGTGACCACAGTTTGATATTCTGGCACTTGCTGTTTTATTCACCTTAACTCTTATGTTTACAAATATCTGGAAAATAATCCTGTTTATTGTTTATATTTAGAAATAAATTATAGGGTTGGGGATATATGTAGCTCAGTGGTAGAGTGTATGCCTGTCTTGGACAAGGCCCTGGTTTTGATCCCTAGCACCCAGAAAAAAACCCTTGAAAATGACATAGTAGTCTGCATGTCTGACACCACAGATAGTGCTAAATCCTTTATAGACTACATATTCTTTTCCTATATGCAAAAATCTGTGATAATTTATAAATTAGACTGAAAGAGATTAACAGTAATAATATGATAGGACAGTTATCACAGTGTATAATAAAACATTTCTCCCTTGTGTCTTTTGTAATTTACAAGTACCATAGCAAAACTAGCATGGATTTCTTTTTCCCCTCTTTACAATATTATGGACAGAAGATTTGTTCTTACCATGAATCCTAGCAGCCTCAGCATAAGAGTTTTTTCTTGAAAACTTTCACCTTTTCACTTAGAGAAAGTACTTTACATGTTCTTTTTGGCATATCTAATTGTAAGCATCACTACTATTGTGCGTTAAGTCTTTTGTTTAAAAAGTTACAGTTAGTATAAGTACTGCAATACCCTGACAACTGAGCTGATACCTAAGATGACTATCATCACAGTAGGGTATACAGCATAAACACAGTGGACAAAGGCATGATTCACGTCCCAGGTAAATCAAGGAGGACTATGTGAAATTTCATTGTGCTACTCAGAATGGCACACAATTTAAACTTATGAACTGTTTTTTTTTTTTTTTGAAATTTTCAATTTAATATTTTCTCACTGGTTGACTGTAGGCATGTGAAACTGCAGAAAGGAAGACTGCAGATAAGGGAGGACTATTGTAAAAAGATCTCATTGTATTTTCTCAAACCATGGCTAGTTGTAATGTCTTTTCACCCAAAACTGCTTAAGATCTAAGATGCCGAGTTGGGGCTTATCAGTAGAAGTAGCTCTTGTTTTTTTTTTTTTTTTTTTTTTTTTTGTCTTTTTCCTTTTTATCGGTACATGTAATCCAACTGTTTAATATATAAATACCCCTTTTCTAAAATGCTTGGGACCAGAAATGCTTTAGTTTTTGGAATATTTGCATATATGTAGTAAGATAGCTTGGGTTTGGGATAGCTAAGGACTAGAGTTGCATGCATTTCTGTGTCTGTTAAAACTTCCAGTGAGTTTCATGTGTAAGTGGTGACCCACAAAAAGGCTCGCATGGTGTTATAACTATTCTGAGGACAGGAAGCGTTTGGAAATTCAGCAGCAGCAGCAGCAGCAGCAGCAGCAGCAGCAGCAGCAGCAGCAGCAGCAGCCACAGTGGTGGTAGAGACAAGGCAGGCTCACAGCATATTTCACAGTGTGAGCCAGTGAGCACACAGCTTTGCCTACTGCTGCCTGAGGGAAGCAAACCAAAACTGTATATTGCAAGATTTTTCTAGGTTCATGTTTTTGATGTCAAGTCATGTGATAATACTGTACCATAAGTTGCCAACTTTGCTTTACTCTGTAGTAAAGATAGGTCGCTGCAGTGCTTTTTTCTTTCTCTCTCTCTTTTTTTCTTGAAAGAGAAAAAAACTGTGCAATGTATGTTTATGCCTACACCATGCCGAGGCGACACTTACCAGTAAGTAGTCTCTGTATTCCCGAGGTAAGATACTGTTTCTGCTTTCCCTGCACAGTGCTGCTGCAGCACGGAGCTGATCCAAATATTCGGAACACTGATGGGAAATCAGCCCTGGACCTGGCAGATCCTTCAGCAAAAGCTGTCCTTACCGGTAAGAAAACAGCTACTCTTTTCTTTGGATCTGTGGAACCATGAGCCTGATTTTATAAAACGTTCCTGCACTATTTTCTGTTTTTTTTTTTTTTTTTACACTGATGGAGCTAAACAGATATGTGTGCCATTAACTACTACTTTATTACTGGTTGGGTATGTGTCTTATTAACTGCTGTGCTTTCATAAGCAATAGGATTGCTTATTTTACTTAGAATTATTGCATTAAATCTTAGCCTGTTACTCATGTTTTATGGTTTGTATCACAATGTTCTTATACCTCATCTTCTTTGTTGTTTCTTTTTAAGACCTTACTATTGAGCAGGCAAGGGCATTTGTATTTCTGTAAAAGTAGTTTTGATTGGAAAGACAACCTGCTGCCTGTTACTGGGACCTACAGTTAAATAAAATGTGTTGTTGCTTCTCCCTTTTCAGTTGGCTATATTTGCATCAGATGTTGTCAATGTTACCATAATAGTCAAATTATTTTTAACTGGGAAAGTGTTATCTTTTTACTTCAGATAATGCCGATTTTGGCCTTAAGTATTAGTTTTACTAAAGCAAATGCCAAGAACAGCAAAGAGCAAATGCTGGACTAGAAAAGACCCCTCTCACAACAAGATAGAAATCTTACAACTGTTATGCTTTTGAGCAGCTGTTTTCACTGATCCTCATTCTCAGGGTGCTGCATTGGATCTACTTCTGTTTCCGTTCTGATCATCTGAGTCCTACTGCCTTTGCCCACTTTTACTTAACTGATCTCTGTAATTTGGAGCCTCTGTCACTGCAGTGCTAACAGTATTATTTAATTACCTTTTAAATTTTCCCTGTTTGCGGAAAATAAGTCTTTTGTTCTTAAGTTTTAGAGTCCATGCTGTACATTTTAAACAAAGATTTTAAGATGAATGGGAAATGTTTATATACAGAAAGATTTACAGATGTATAGAATTTTGCTTACTCTGTCAAGAAAGATAATTTCCTACTACACATATTAATTTAGCACTTAATCACTGCTAAATTTTCTCAGTTAATAAAAGTTTAAGCAATTTCAGTTGCTGAGTCAAGATAACATACAGTGGAGGAATAACGCTAATTAAATCAGTCTGGATAAGAAATTTAACTTTAAATAATAGTCTTAGGGCTGCTTAGGTTTTTGCAAGCATTCAGTCTCTAAACAAAACCCCCAGCAAGAATAGCAGCTGGTATCTGACCAAAGGAGAAAGACAGTTAATAGAAGCAGAGGTACAATGTATCATAAATGCTGAGCAAGACTGTCTCTGTATTGTCAGTGTCCTCCCTCTGACCTTTCCTCCTCTCCCAACTCTCACGCTCAGTGCCTATTTGTTAGATTCATTTAATGTGTTACTGCTTTTAGATTTACTTTTATTTTTTAAAACACAAAGTTTAAATATGTTATTAAAAATGAGGACCTTTCTCCTTATTTGTAATAAATTTCAGGGAAGATTGTGTTGGGAAAGAGCTTTGGAATAATCACTCACAGAAACTGAAGGTTCCTGGAGGACAGATACGATTATTATCATTGATTTGAAAACCCATCTAGCATTGTACTTTGCTTGTATAGGAAGATATTAAATTCTTTGTGGTCATAATATTGATTTTACTAATTGTTTTTTTCTAGACTATCTACTCTTTTGGAAATGATATACAACTTCTCAGATATGAATTTTAAAAATAAAGTCTAATAGTAGTTTTGTTGGAACTATAAATTGGCTCTACTTATATATTCACATTATATAGTGTGATGAAGTAACACTTCAGTAAACTGTATCACACAGTGTTTTTCTGTCCATACATAGGTTCTTTACTAACATTTCTTCCCAGTGGAATTACGGTGAAAGTATTATTTCCAAAGCAAAATTACAAAGATTAAGCATTAATTTAAAAAGGGTACGGGGTGAACTGAGGGTGTAGCTCAGAAGTAGAATGCTTGCCTGGTATGTTTGAGGCCCTAGGTTTGATCTTTGGCACCACAAAAAAGCAAATTTAGAAGGGAAGGTATAGGCCGGGGATTTAGCTTAGGGGCTCAAGTGCTTACTTGGTAAGCACGAGGTTTTGAGTTCGATCCTTGGTACCAAAAAAAAAGAAGGGAAGGTGTTACCTTAAAGAGTAATGTCTAAATTCTGAGTGAATTTTTTTTGTGGTGGTCAGGTATAATTGCAATACCATTACTTGAGAGTGAAGTTTTTGTTTTCGGATATTTTTTCTTTAGGAATTTACTTGCTGAAAATCTACATCATCTCACCATTTGTGGTATTGCTTTGGTATATTAGCCAGAACTAGTATAAATATCCTCTATCTTTCTTATAGGAAATTAGCAAAGTAAAAATCTTTTTATAGAACATTAAAAATATGTATTTGATTAATGCTGTCTTACACATAAAGAATGCATGGAGTTTTACAGTACCATACAAAGCAGCAGTATTCCCTTAGTTTTACAGCTAAAGTACTCTATCGTGCAGTCATTTGTTTTGATCGTGCATTTAACGTGAATTCTTCATTGGAGAGACTGCTGAAACTGTTGAATTATTGTGTAAGTAGATGATATGTTTGGAAATCTTAAGGAGTTGTTTTGGGGAGTGTTGCTTTGATATTCTAAGTAATCAATTAAAGAACTTGAAAGTGGGGTTTTTGTTCACTTTTTAAAAATGAAAAGTGTAAATTTTATAGATGATGACCATGGTGTTATAGTTATGAATTTTTTAAAAGTAGCATATTTGGCCTTTTTTTCTCGTAAATAATAAAGTCAAATTGAATAAAATAGGAAAAGCATGAAAAAGAAAAAACTATTCATAATTCTGCCACCTAGAAATGACATTTTAGTATACTTGGTAGGTAGCTTTTTTCAATGAGAACATATGCCCTTCATTGTTTTAACTGAATGAGCCACATAATTTCTGCTAAATTAAATATATACACATACATGTATGTGTAACATGGAACTTCCCAGAGGGCAATAAGTATTCTGCAACACTAGCTTATAATTATGGTATAGTGTTAATGTATTGTTTTCCAGTGAATTCCCTAATGTTTGAACAGTTAGGTGGCTTGTTTCAGTTTTAATTCTTCTTGATGTGGTCTAGGAAGGATGTTGCTGACCATGTGAAAGGGACTCGCTGGGGCAAAAGGTAAAAGTAGCAGTGGAAACTGGGTCAGGCAAGAAGTGGGAGCAGATCGAGACCGAGAGTTCAGGGAAGCATAGATGACTGAAGAAATGTTTAGTATTGGCAGCCTCACGGATGACTTAACATGCAAATTGAGTAAGTTTGGGTGGTTGCAAATTTGGTGAAGTAACATGGCATAGTAGTTTCCTAGTAGATTAAAGGGAGTGGGGAAGAAAAATACATTTGCATCAAGGTGTCGCAGGAAAAAAAAATGTTCGCCTAGATTTGTTGACATTCTGAGAAGATGCTAATCTCTGTATGATTGCAGAGCAGCCTCCTCATTCCTGCAGAAGGAACCCATCGTGACTCAGGCCCGGAGTAGTGTTGAGGAGGCCCGGTGGGTTCCTGCAGGGGCTGGTTTGGGGGATCAGCAAAAATGTGCTGGGAATCCTGCCTTTGGGTGGTGCTACTGCGTTCTGCTGCCTGCTGCTTTTCAAATGAGGTCAACATCCTAACTACTGAGGACTTGAATGGCCTGGCCCCTTTATCTTAGGTTTGTTACTAAGGTTTTACTCAGTTCAAAATTTAGCTTTTCTTTCTTCTCTTCACATTTTGCATCCAGCCAGTTGAGAGTGAAGGCTTGCAGATCACCAGCCTAGCCGTTTCTTACCACCATGACAGCTCTAGCCTGGTCCACAACTTCATCCTCTTTCCTCCATGCTGGCTGTCTCTACACTTCATTCAGTTCTCTTCACTGTAGGGGGAGTGGTCTTTCTAATGTACAGATGAGCTTGATGTTCAGAACATTTTTTAACATATTCCTATTTTCCCTAAATGAAATCCAAATTCTTTACCCTACTTCATCGTTATGATGCTACTGCCTTGCATATCTCTGATCTTACAGTCTCCTTTGACTTCTGTTTTTGCTACAACTAGATGTTTCTTTCTATCCAAAAAGATTTCTGTTGTCTGGGGTAGCACATGCTGTTCACTGAATGTGTTCTAGAATGTGTCCATCTTGGAGAAGACTTGTGTCCCTATTCATCTTTGCTTATCTTATTTTCCTGATGGATTGTCAGGGTCTAACTTGTATTTTTGTGGTTGTTTGTCCCAGTAGAACAAAAGATTCTGAAGAGTTTTTAACTTGGCGTTTGTCTTGTTTACTTCTTTGCCTCAGGACTTAAAATATATAAAATGACTAAATAAACAAATATATCAAAGGTTTGGTTACTGATAACGGAGTGCAACATATTTTCCAGGTCTTACAAACACTAACCACTAATTATTTGACATCTCATGCCATATTATAATAACTTTAATAAATTATTTCTCAAAACTGGATTTGCATTGGGTCTAGTCATGTATCAATTCTTAAACTATATTTTTTAAATGTTTTAATTGGTATGGTGTATGAAGTATGTATTTATTTTTGTAGACACATTTCTTGAATGGCTCCTGTGATGGTAAGCATACTAGTTGTAGAAGGAACCAACTGCCTGGCGCTGTCACATTAGACTTCTAGATGGCTGACCAGGGCCTAATTTTTACCCCTTTTAGTTGCTATTAATATGTCTTTCATGTGGTTTTTTTTGCATATTAGCTATGCTGCAATGTTGCATATACATCATGTGTTGTATATTTATACTGTTAAGTTACAGGATTGAAAATGAGATTTTTTTATGCTGTTATTCTGAAATTTAGGGATTATTTTTATTAAGAAGTCTAACTGCATAATATGCAACCTGTATAATAAACAAGAAAAGAAAAAAAGCTGTTTGTTTACCTACTTGGGGTTTATTAAAGGAAAATTATTGTATTAAGACAAATTCCTAATCTTTAAAAACATATCTTTAAGTGTTACAGAAAAGAAAATTAAAGC